CCATATATCAGATTTCTAGATTGTTAATAGTTTCCGTGAGAGTGTTAAGTCACAAAATTACATTTATGCATAAAATTTTTCTTAGATACGTGTTTTTTTAAAAGAAACACATACATGATTGAAAGAGATTGGATACCAAAAAAAAGGAAAAAGGGAGAGATTGGATAGAAAAAAAGGACACATGACAAAAGACCGGATGCCCATCAGGCATAAGCTTCGGTGGTGGATCGAGTGGTGTAGGGTTTGGTTCTTTTCCACGAGGTTTTGGGAGATGCAGATCGTGCAGCTCTAGATGCATACACGGCTCCATTTCCCTTTTTTTCTCTTTATTTTTCTCCAGCCCTTTGAAAAGTGAACAATGCATGGTGGGGGTGGCATGCGTGCGGTGTTCCCCACAGGAGAATTTTGTGTCGCACTCAGTGGTTGGCTTTGGCCATCAGTTCATGCCCCATCACAACCATTTCTTATTTAAGTTTTTTCCCTTTAGTTTTTGTTCTCTTGCTTCGCTAGTACGCTACATGCCATCCCTCGTCATCAATACAAGCAAACCCTGACTCGTGAACATTCAAAGAACAAAAAAGAAACCGCCTAGCTTTTATTTATTTGTCATTATAGGGCCCTGTTCGCTTCGCTGAAAAAACAAACCGAAACATTATTCCGGCTGATTTGTTGTGAGAGAAAAACATTGTCCCGGCTGAAAAAATAAGTTGAAAAAGTCGGATTATAAGAGAAGTAAATAGGGCCATATATATAAGCTGAAAAAATAAGCTGAAAAATAAGCTGAAAAATAAGCTGAAAAAGGCTATTCTGCAGCTGGCCATAGAATAACTTATTCTATGCCACCTTGATTTACGATAATATTTGTACCAATTTACGATAACATGAATATGCATTTACGATACTCGTGTTACTACAACTCACAGTGATATTTACCATAATATTATAGTAAATCACTTAGTAAGGAGTTACTGTAGTCTCGTAAATTAGCATAGTAACTATCGTAACTCAAAGTGACCACAGAATAAGTTATTCTATGACCGACTGCAGAACAGTATATATATATATATATATATATATATATATATATATATATATATATATATATATATATATATATATATACACAAAACATTCTGTAGAATAATAGTTGGGACTATATAAAATTGCTTGGCTATGATCCAAAATATTGTGGGAGGCCAACTAATAACCAGGGCATCGTGCCCAGACAACCCAACAAAGGGATGCAATATTAATATATAATAAATTATGACATGCAGCAATGACGCTTGTTTGATAATAATGATTGCCTGGTGTAGCTAGCGTCTAATGATTAACTAAAACTAGGTAACGTACCATATGTTTCAATTTTAGTTCAACTTGATCCGTATGTTTCATCTTTATTAGGCTTCCACTAACAAATCGTACACCAAAACAAAAGGGACGATATAATAGACTCAAGTTCAGGTCCATCTTCATCTGTAGTAGGTGTAGCCTTGGTCGTTATTTTTTGAAGTTGCTATTGGCCTACGATCCATGAATCTACACTTTACCCGGACCGGTGTTCTTTTAACTTAAAAACATAAATATTGTATTGGTAAGTGCTTTTGCCTTTTATGTGCTGGAGCAGCAAGAATTCCTGCGGAAAGTATGCTGCTATCTCGGTACACCCCCCCTCGCCCCCCCTCCATCCTAAAGATGATGCAATTCTAAAACAATACTCCCCCCGTTCCATTTTATCTGATATATGTTAGAAAGATACGGTCTCTTAGATTACATTTTGACCATTCATTTGCTTTATATTATATTATTTATGCTTATAAACTTATAATCATTGGATAGTATAATTTCTTACAAATCTAATCATATAAAGTTTGTATTATAATAGTTAAAAATTATTAGCCTAATTATTGGTCAAAATTTTAAAGTTTGAATCTTTATATGCGTGTGCACCAAATAAAATTGACGGAGGTAGTAGTGTGTTAAGTATATTAAGTTTGGTTAAATTTATCTAAAAATTATTAATATTATTTTACTAATATATTTAGTTAAATTTTAGACACTTTAACCAAGAATGCACCTAAAATTATATTCTTTTTGGGATGGCGGTAGTACTTATGCAAACTACCTCTCCATAATATCTAGGTGAGATACAATCGAGGCATTTCATCTCATCTTAGAAATTAGAATGGTTCCAATAATCATACATAGGATATATAACTAACACATTTCTACTACTCACCTTGTCCAAACAAACATGCAATTCTAAATGATTCCTTGTTAAATAATGTCAAATTTGACTAAAATTACACAAAAATTAATAATATTTGTCATGAAACATACTATAATATACTTATTTATTTGCGTAATCTATAATAACTTATTGGCTATATAAATGTTAATATTTTATCTATATATTCAACCGAGAATGAATCTAAAATTGCATTTTTTTTTGGTGGACGGATAAAGTAACTCCTAAAGGTTCACTCCTCAGGAACTCTTTTCCAGGTTACTGAACTATGGCTCGCCCAAACACCGACACGAATTCATGCAGACGTAGCTCATCCATCTATCCTATTATGCTGCTGGGAGATTTGGACATACCGGAATGAGGTCGTCTTTAGACATCTACCGCCGAACATCGAACGCCTGGTCGCGGCCTGCAAAGTGTCTGCGAACTCCTGGGCCTGTAGAATTCCACGATGAAATGCTTCCCTAGCAATCAAGTGGAGAAACATCTTTGATACGTATGTAATTACGCCTAACTATTTCTTGCCTGCTGGAATCCTATTTGAACTTTTGGGGCTTTGCCCCATTCACCCACCGGCTACGCCGGAATCTGTGGAATGAAATTAGGTGGAGATTTGCTTTGATCCCCCGTCGTTTACCTCAAAAAAAGAAACTCTTTTCCAAACATCAAATCCACTTCTAGTGCTTTGTTTAGATTGCAAATTTTTGCAATCTGGACACTGTAATACGTTTCGTTTCTATTTGACAAACTTTGTCCGATCATGGACTAACTAGGCTCAAAAGATTCGTCTCGTGATTTACAACCAAACTGTGTAATTAGTTTTTTTTACCTACATTTAATGCTCCATGCATGCGTCCAAAAATTGATGTGATGGAGAGAGAGTGAAAAAACTTGAAATTTTGAGGCAATCTAAACAAGGCCTAGGTTTATTTCACCAGGTAAAATATTTTGTTCTTTATTAAGTGAAAGGAGCATAAAAACCATTGAAAATAGATTTTTGACCGTGTAGTTCTGTCTAGGGCCTTGTTTAGATCATCTCCAAATTCCAAGTTTTTTCACTCTCTCCATTACATCAATTTTTGGACACATGTATGGAGCATTAAATGTAGGTAAAAAAATAACTAAATACACAGTTTGGTTGTAAATCACGACACGAATCTTTTGAACCTAGTTAATCCAAGATCAGACAAAGTTTGTCAAATACAAACGAAAAATATGTTACAATGTTCAGGTTATAAAAATTTAAGATCTAAACAAGACCTAGGTTACCAGGGGAATTTTAGCTGTCCTTTCAGGCTTCACCGCTTCAGCTGCGGCGCCCACCACGAGCGTGCAGCCGCTGCCGCTGCCAAGGACAACAAGAGTCCAGTTTCACTGTCCCCGCGCACCTGTTTCTCCTCCAGGAGCCAAGACACCGACAGCTGGGACCGCCAAACTGCCACCTCATCCTGGTCCCACCTGTAAGTGGCCTATCCAGAAAGCCATCCCTCCCACGTGAGAGCAGAGCAGGCGCGCCAGCCATCCGGTCCCTGCGGCTACTGTTTGCCAGTTCGTGATTCCATGCCACGAACGACAGCCAGATTCGAGATTCGCCTTGGGCCCACGCGCCGAGGCGGCCCATCCCGCCCGGTTCTACTCCAACCCCCCCGGCCCGCTGCCGTCCGTCCGATCCGCCCCCTCCGCCCGCATCCCCGCCGTCCGCGTCTCAACGGCCGGGATGCGCGCATCGCCCGCCCGGCGCGTTTCGTAGGCCGACACTGCGGCTTTGCCCGCCAAAATGGCAGGCCCGCGTAATTTGCCCCCGACCCCGAGGGCGGTTCCGCTCCGCCGCCCCTGTTATTTATAAAACGAAGGCATGGGCATGATGAAGCCTAGAGCTAGGAGTCTAGCGGTAGGGTGTTTAAGAACAAAGACTCCGAACCAAAACCCGACGCGACTATTTTGTTTGTTTGTTGGTGGTGTTGTTAGTACTAGAAGAGAAGAGAAGAGAGATCAAACGGGCCGTGGGAAAAAAAGGGTTTTATTCGCGTGCGCCGAAGCTGATCTATTTAGCACGCGACGCGACGGGAGCATCTCGCCGCTCGATTCGGGCCTCCCCGTGAATTCGCCCGCAGCGAGCAAGTGAGAATTCGAATTGGAATTGGACTTGCGGCTGCTGCGTTCGGTGCGGAGGAATTCTCGCCGCCTCCCCGAGAGGCGGTGGCGGTGGTTGCGGTCGGCGCTCGAGGAGTGTCGACGGCCTCGCGCCATTGGGTACGAAGCCGGCCTGGGCTGAGCGGTGGGCGGCCGCTGGCTGGAGGCAGCTCAGGCAGGTGAGTTGGCCCGGATTCCGCGGGTGTGTGTGTTCGTACTTCGTGGTGGGGGATTTGGACGGCTTCGTTGCGGTGGTTGCTTCGGTGGGTGGGGGCGGCTGGCGGGCTGGGGGGTCTCCGCGGTCGCCTCGCCGCCCACTCGCACAGCGGCCTCGATCGGATCCTCCTCGGGAGTGGGAAAATGCGAGGCTCCTGCGGGAGCCCAGCGTACCGCGGGCACGGCTCCCGAGGCGGAGGGGTTTCGTCGGTGCTCGTGCAGGGGATTCGGGGGAGCTTCCCAGCTGCTGACAGTCACAGGCTCGTTCGCTCGGCTGTTTGATTGATTTTGGGTTCGATTCGTGCAGGTTGATCCAGGTTTGAGCGCCTCGGGTTCCTGGAGGATTTGCGGGGGCGTGTTTATGGGCGGCTAGATCGGTGATTCCTCAGCTGCTCTCGGTGTGATGGCAGCTGACTCCAGCATGGGGTTTCACCAGGGGATCACCGCCTCGCTGTACAACCATCACATGCTCTCGTTCCAGTCCAACAGCGACGTCGGCATCAGTGGCGGCGGCGACGCTACCGGTGGCATGGTCATGGCGCCGGCGAGTGTGAGTGGCGGCAGTAGCAACGCCGGGCTGTTCCTCTCCCCAAACACAGGTGTCATCGGCAACGCGTCGGGGGTTGCCCCGGCAAGGACCTCGTCGGGGGATGCGTTCCGTGGCACCGGGATGCCCAAGTATAAGTACGTCACTGGTCCTCCTTCGGATTGGAGTGACCGTGAGGTAGCCATACTGAAGGAAGGGCTTGTGAGGTTAATTCATTCCCCATTTTGCTTCCAGAATTGCTTTTGCCTGTACTGGACTGTACTTTTTCTGTTCTGTTGCTCATGTGGAACCTGGTTTGCTTTCTTTTCGCACCTTTAATGTGTTCCAAGGTTGTGGAGCATCAATTATAAAGTCTAAAGCAATGATTATGCAACCGGGCCTTTACTTAGTCGGTTTTGAGTAAAATTGATCTTTCTCTGTTGTTCTTGTGTCGCTATTCAGGTTACTGTGGAACGGCACTTGGTTTCTCCCACTCTAGTGCTTTATGACCTTGTTTTTTGCATCACCAATCAGGAGAGAAAACTCTAGCGTATTAGTTGTTGACAAGTGCTGCTATTTGCTTCACAAATTTGATCTGAGAAACTATTTGTTTCCTTTCCACTTCTAATTCCTCCATCGGCATGGGCAGGTATGCTCGTGAACCTAATGTCATGAGGTACATTAAGATAGCAGCTATGCTTCCTAACAGGACCATCAGGGATGTTGCGCTGCGATGCTGGTGGGCTACAGTTAAGTCACTTCTTTCAGATGTTTTGATATTTCTTCCTCGTGCTTGTTTGATTCCAATGTTCATTCTGGCTTGGAAGAAGGGAACCTGTATATTGCTTTTGAAGTTATATACACTTATACTTGGTGACCAATTACCAAGTGTAGATAGAGTATTGCATATAATGATGGCTTTCTTGGCTAGAAGTTTACGCTATGCTCATGACGGTTGCAATCTGTATATAAACATGTTTATGGCCTGTTTGTATGGGGGTTTCCCAGGCATTGCCTGGCCAGAGAACCCATCCTGGCCCTAGGCATCCAAAATCGGACGCCTGGGACTGCTGTCTCGGGAACTTATTTGGGGGGTTGCAGCATGTTTTTGTTCTGACATTGTTCTGCCGACACCTTTCTGTTATTACCTGCATTAGTACAAGAAGCATATGTAGGCCACTATGGTCTGCTGACTTATTTTGATTATAGCAGGGTAAAGAGAGAAGGAAGAAACCTGATGGATTCTTTACAGGGAAAAAAACGAGAGACATGAAGGTAGTTCTGAATTTATGTGTAGATCATTTAAATCACTTTCTTGTTATTGGCGAAGCTTCTCACTTGCCTAGTATTTTCTTCATTTCTTTTCTTGATGTCAATCATGTTATTTCTGACAAAGTCTCTACAGCCAATCCAGGACAAAATGGTTGCATCTGTCCCAATAGCTAATTTTCACATGACACCTACAACCAATGTAACCCCTTTTTCGATATCAATGCAACATCCAAATCAACAAAGTCAAGTTCACAAAGAAGGTTAGCCTCCATCCGTCTCTTTTTTTTCCCCTTTTGTTCATAATATCATCTTTACTTCATCTAACAAACAGTCTTAAGGTCTCATTTTCTATTTGGTAAAAGAAGGTCTCTAAGTAATCTCATTAGACTGTGAGTGGGGTCAAATGTTAGAAATCAGTTGGTTGATCATTATTCTCTGTAGTTTCTTAATATATAGTGACATAGACCTGGTTTACGTGTCAGCTTAGCAATAAATTTTCCACTGGCTGACCTATTTGTCTAATCATACTCTTACTATGATTTAAGTAGAAGTTGATGGTTTCCATTTTCCAAGATTACGCAACATACTTCATTTGCTTGTAGTATATTCTTACTATGATGGAAACAAATCATACTCTGCATTCCCATGATCCCGATAACGCAAATTTCGGATTATGGGTCCCCTATCCCTAAGCATATATCCCTTAATCCCTAGAAACTGTTATAGTTAAAATACACTGGCAGGTGGGAATAGTTTGCTTTATTGTTATTTCATGGCGACAAGCTTATAATGCCATTGAATATGCCACAACTGGATGAGCAAGTGAATTGCTGCTTTAAAGATCAATTTGTTGGGCTGAACTATAGCTATGAAAGGTCACTTGCATATACGGCAAAGAACCTGCTACCATGTCTACACTATACACCCAGATTCCTTTTGCTATTGCCCTTCAGTGTAATATTCAAGAAAGATGACACCGTAAGAAATTTTGGCATGTAGGTTTTATTTTAAATTTTCCATCAAGATTCATATATATTCATTCGGAGGAACTCCTATGATAGTACTCAATTCCAAATTGTAAGTCATTCTGGCTTTTCTAGATACACACCTTTTATTATGTATCTAGACATAATATATTTCTAGTAACGTAGCAAAAACTATGTAATTAGAAAAGCCAAAACGACTTACAATTTGGAATGGAGGGAGTAATAAAAAGTGGACTTTCCTTTTGTAACTGCATCCGTCTATCCAATGTTGGTCTTGTTTCTTCCATCAAAGTCCATTTCTATTTCTTAATTCTGCGAAAGTATGATAATAGTAATGTAAAAGAAATCTTTCCTTGTGTTGTGTGCCTGCATACATATATCTGATGTTGATCTTACTTCTACTAACACTCATGTGGTTGCATTCTGAAGCAGCTCCTGTTATCGACAGTGCAACCCAGCGTCTCCTGGAGGAAAATAATCAGTTGCTTAACCAGATTTCTGCAAATATTGAAACATTCAAGGTCTGTATTTATTTATACTTGTCATGTCTATGGTCTGCACTTGCCCTTTTTGTACTCTCGAGTGTCAGCCACAAGGTACATGGTGCCTGCAAATTATTCGTTTAACTATGATTGTTAGTCATACAATTATCTTGCCGATTAAAATTACATCACTATTTTGTTCATGATTCCACCAGAAATGGATATTATCCTCTTACTGCTTTAGTTGTTATTAGTTTGATCCGGGATGAAACTGAATGGAAAAATTTATAGAACTAATCAACAAAGAGTAGATGCCCTGCTTATTTAATTCTTACATGACCTGAAATATAAGCTACAAAAGTGCCTTTGGCTTCATTTTGCACTGCCTGTGTACAACCATAAACACATAAAAGTCCATTATTTTGAGGTTTCATTTAACATTTCAGGGGACTGTGATTTAGTCTTATTCTTTGAATGTTTGGGTTCGACATTTGTTTCATCAGGAATATTTATATATGATGATATCATGTGAAATAAACCCGTCAGTCATCATATAACTTGTTGGAACATGTCGCTCTTGTTGGCTTGATGAAGGATAAAAGTAGCTTTCTTGGGTTTTAGAAAACGTGATAAGTTTGGGAATCCAATTGAGCATAACTGTTTTCATTCCTGATTTTCTTGCAGACAGTGGAGAACACAGATCTTTTTCTCCGCACGAGTAACAACATCAAAACAATTTTAAGCAGGTACAGCGTTGTGATCATGCACAAGATAGTTTTTTAAACCTTCTCCCCAGAACCTTCTGCAATAGATTACAGAATTAACATAGGCTGAGATCTGACACTACTGATGTTTCTTTTGCTTGTATTCTTCTTTACTATGTTTCAGAATGAGCGAAACACCTGGTATCATGGGTCTGATGCCTCCATTGCCTTTATCCATAAATGAAGATCATATAAATTCGCTTATTCAACTGAACAGACTGGTAAGAACACACAACCTGTTAGCAAACAGGAAAGATTGATGATATTTCCACGCGATGTTAAGAGTGGGCCCTTGATTGTGTCTAAGCAACATTATCTTATTCTGAAAGGTTGCATCATATGGTACGGCAAGCATTTCTCATCATACCAAGCAAGAGCCATGAAGCTAGTCTACCATACCCAGGGGAAACAAAAATGAGAGGACCAAACGTGCTGTTGAGGAAGGCTTACATGTTGTTATACTGACCAAGCGCCAGGGACAATCACTGCTTTCCAGATAATGTTTTTGCAGTGATCTGATTGTTTCCAACCCGTCTGCCTGCCTGCCCACCAAGGCACCAATTGTTGGAGCATTTGGAAGAAGTCTGCAGTTGTCGTGCGAGAGCCACAAGCTATTTGCTGCTGTTTCTGTTTGCATTATCCGGCATATAGACCAGTATCAAGACACTTGATCCTGGACTCCGTAAGTGATTGTAAATATCGGACGGCTGGAGGCGTTCCATGTTTTGTTTCTCTGATTGCTCATGAATGTATTTCTTCTTTTCTTTTTTTGTCCCCGGACAGGGTTGCATTGCTCCCAATATGTAACTATGTACAATAGCCAATGTCCTAGACTGCTAGGCGTAGAGCGACTCCATTTTCTGACTAATTGGACCCTGGAACCCAAACATGTGTTGTCCAGATGTTCTACATTCTTTCTTTCACCACTTCAGAAGCATTGGATTAGCACTTCAGAAGCATTGGATTAGCACTTCAGATGCAATGGAATAGCTGCGCCCCAACATTGACACTAGTAATTTATTCCCTTTGTTTCAAATTGTAAGCCGTTTTAACTTTGTCTAAAAATTCTCTAGTTTTGACCTAGTTTATTCAAAAAAATAGAACATCTACAACATCATACTAGGTTTGTTTCATTTATTTGATATTGTAGATGTTAATACATGTTTCTAGAGACTTAGTTTTGACTTATAAAGCCAAAAACGACCGGAGGAGTTAATGTATGGCAAATATTAATTTGATTTCGACACAAGCACATAAAACAGAACATTAGACGAATGTCAGCAACACATTCAAAGCTTCAGCAAGCCCCAACACAAATAACAGAGGAACAAAGCAGCAGGTTGTGAGTTGATGCATCATGCTTCGATGAACGTAGAACTCGGTCATAATAAAAATGAAAACGATGTCGAAAGCCTTTCAAATACTATACACTCAATAAACAAAGAACAATACATCCCATCACCGTTCAAGCCCATTTGTTGTGACAAGATGCCAACAAATGGGTGTGTCCTGGTACCCTAGGGGGAAGCCACGATGAAACCACCAAGAGTTACCAGTTGCTAGACAACAATCATGAAGGAAGCATGGTACTCCATATACTACATGGTAGGTACAAAAATTTAGACACCCTGACTCCAATCCAAAACAATACTTCACAAATACGTAATGTACAGGAAATGAAAAGTTCAATTGGCAGGTTGGTCACTGCTCGCCTTCTCCCCAGAATCTTCTGCAGAGAGTTCTTCAACGGTTGGTAGGCTGCTTGCAACAGGACTTGCAGCACCTGAGGTTGCAAAGCTTGCACCACCTTGGCCAATGATTCCACCAGATTGAGAATCCGGACTCTCCTTGCCAGAATTAGGTACCAATTCATGGTCCTCGTGTTGCCGGGATCCATTGAGGGCATTACAGTGAGGACAGTAGTATGTGACGAAGGCAAAGTCCTCTTTCCTAGCAAGACCTGGACAAATGAAACTGGTTAACTACGTTCAAAAAAATGAAACTGGTTAACAGAGAACTTGTAGATGATATAGTTGACATAATAAACAGTTTTTTGTCACCTACCGTTATGCATATGGCAGTTGCCACAAATTAGAGCATAGCACTGTGTTGGATCCTCTCCTACAAGCAGAGCTGCTACTCGTGCAAGCCATCCCCCATCATTACCAGCTGGACCTCTAAAGTGCTCAGCATTCCTCTGAGTAGGAGTGCTGGGGCCTTCTTCACTACCATCATACACATTTGAGCCGTCAAATGGCTCAAGGGACTGGGCCCTTCCAGCACCATTGCTTAAGTGTCCTTTTCTTTGCCCAAGTCCAGTTTGTCCAAGATTATTATCATTACTTTTACCCAGTGCTGCATCCCTGTTTGGTTCATCTCCCAAAAAGACTCTCAATCCAGAATCAGCGCCCAACTTTGATGCCAAAACTGTTGCCGCTGCAGCCTTTGCAGCTGGGTCAAGATCATATCTCTGGTTCACCAACATGACAAGTCAGTTGCATGTAAAAAAGAAAAATGAACAATAAAACAGGGCTGTAAATGAACCTGTATAAGTTGCTGAGTAGTGTAGTAATTTGTTCTCTCCTTCAATTCATCAATCTTGGCTTGCCTTTCAGTTCGAAGCTTTTCAAGAGTCTGTTGGTCTCTGTTATCAACTGGAGATAGGATAGTGTGTTACTAATAAGACATGAAGGATTATCTATAATAGCTGAAGCAATTTATATGGTCACACCTTCATGCTAAAGGGACACATTTTGTAACTTTGGCTTTTTCATACAGCAATTTCTTCAGGATACAAATAAAATAAACTAGGCAGGAAATTTGTTCTGTGCTCACTGATCAAATAAAATGCATTGGGAAACTAATGGGAAACATGCGCACATTTGTACTGCCTTGCATTTGTGCACCTTCAGTCAACATAATGTGTAGCTAGAGCCTAACGATGTGTGTGCATGTGCAATACAGAATGTGCATACCAAGACGTCAGTATACTTACGCATTTTCGCGAGGCTTGTAATGGCCGAGTAGATGAGAGCAGCTAGAGCAGGAACAAGGAACATGGGCAGCACCCTGACTGCCCTCATCTGCCAGCTGATGTCCGGCGATCTCGTAGTCATGATGGCATATCCAACTGCAACAATCTGTCACAAAAAGGGAATAACACGAAACCATCTCAAAACACAATTTTGTCCTGATCCAAGGCCCTAAATCCAAAGTGGCACTTATGAGGTGATCCCAACACGATTCCATTCAGTATTGGTACAAATTCTATTAGCTAAACTGACGTAATGCATCTCGTCTGATGTGAGATGACAACAGATGCTCAATTGTAACAACGGATATTGCTGACTACCATAACACGATGGCCCGGCAGGCGGGTCATCCTGACCAAACGATTCCTGATTCCACAATTCAAACCGGATTCATCGCCCTACGAGAAAGGAATTCCCATCCTCTATCGGGCAGGAACAGGAATACAGCAAACTGAACAGAAGCGTTTGCTATGCTATGTATAATCGGGTAATCCAGCAGGTACGAGTCGAATCACCTCGAGCGCGGCGGCGAGGGCGAGGACGTTGTGCGCGGACTGGCGGGAGGCGCGGGCCCGGCGGCGGAGGCGCGCCCGCACGGCCTCCTCCTCCTTGGACAGCGCCTGCAGCAGCTTCTCGACGTCCTCGCGGCCGCCGAAGATGCCCTTCCACACCCGCGACACGAGCCCCCGCTGCCTCCGCTTCTGCGTCGCCGGCGTCTCCGGCGGCATGGGCGACCGCGGGGACGCCGCGGCGGCGGCGGGCGCGTCGCCTTCGGCCATGCCCGGCGCGACGACCGGCACCGGCACCGGAAGGATCTGGCCTGATCGGATCAGACGGGCCGACGCCCGGTGGGATGGGAAGGCGGTTTCCTTCGCGCGCTCCTCGATGGGGTTGGGTAATTGGGTTACGCGGCCAAGGAATGGAATGGAATGGAGGATTGCTTCGTGGAGGGAGGCGCGCTTCTGGGGAAAGGCGGAGGGGCGAGGCCGGAAAGGAGAGGGAAGGAAAGCTAGGAAAGGCGTCGGTCGCGTCGGGCGGTCGGCGTTACGTGTCAATTTTTTTTAATATATACCATATATACTCCCTATGGGAATACAGTTCTAACTTAGTTAAACTCGGTATTTATGTTAGGTTTACTATATAAAAATAATACGGAGTAGTAACTTTTAATTTCTCGAAAATTCTGAATCACATTTTTTGTTATTTAAGGGAGTGGAGTATGGTTTTTTAACCGGACTGCGCAGGACCGTGTGTTGCAGTTGATCGGACCTCATTTTTTATAATTTGGTCCTTTTTTAAAAGAAATTTACGTTTGACCTCCTGGAAGACTTAAACTCATCTTTGGATCTAGAGGTCGGCGCCAGGACTCATGACGCCGAGGTAACATGTCTCGGCGCCACAGATCTTGGCACCGAGGTGCCTGGCCGAGCCCAGCAAGCCATCCTTGGTGGCGTTTACGTGGCCGGTACCTCGGCGCCATGTATTCTGGCGCCGAGCATTGATTCAAAACCCGCGGTCGCAGCTCTCTCTCTTTCGCTCTGTCTCTGCCTCTCACCGCCGCCGTCTACGCCCTGTCCGCGACGCCGTCGACCGCGCCTCCTACGCCGGCAGCAGGCCACCGTCGGCCGTCCGGTCCCTGCGCCGCCTCCCTTTCCCGGCTCCTGCGCCCCCGCGCAACCGCCCGCAGCAGGCCACCGCCGCGCCCCCGTCGCCGTGCAAAGCCCGGCCGCCCTCGTCGCCCCTTCCCTCCTCATCTCTGTCCAGCGGTGAGGGCGGCCCACCACCGCTCGCCGGAGCTCCCGTCGGCCGGCTGGGCTCCGGGCCCTACGCCCCCTGCCCCTCCGGGCCGTGCGCGAGCAGCCCATCCAAGTATGCTTATTTATTACATAGGTTTAGTTAATTAGATACTGTACTTTAGATAATTTAGTTAGTAATTTTTTAGAATATTTAGCAAATTTAGTTAGCAAATTTAATTACATAGGTTGAAAGTTAGATGCTTATTTATTTAGTTATATTATATACTTAGGAATATATGTATGTAGCTTATTTAGTTAGATTAGATTTTTAGAGACATAATTAGGGAGTTAGTTACCTATTGATTTAGTTAGCTAGTTAGTAAGTGTAGTTACCAAATCTCTTATCTTGTTATAGAGATAGTTAGACAGTTAGATACTTATTTGTTTAGGTCGATAGTTAGGTAATTTAGTTAGCAAATGTAGTTAGATATTATGGTTAGTTATCTTATAATAATATACCCGTAATAATTTGGTTGATGTGTATACCAACTAGATGGACAACGTAGTCACCCTGTATCATGGAGGAAGTGTGGAGGAAGATGAGTTTGGTAATGTCAGTTTTGTTGGAATGCAAAGGGTGCTAGTGATATTCGATGATCGGCCATTATTTTATGAGTTGTTTGGTAGGGCTCGTGATGAGCTTAAATGCAATTCAAATGAAGATGCCATCTTAGTTGAGGGGGTACTTCACCATGGTAGGTTAGGGACAATTTTGAGGCGGTTGGTCCCAATTGCATCAGAGGCTCAATGGGACAAATATGTCAAAACTGTCATGAAAAATGAGTTTCAATGTTTGGATTTGGTTGTGCGGAAGTTGTCAAATGATCCCACCCCTCATGGGTATTCTGTAACATCTCGGGTGTTTAAAATACTAAAACCTGACATGTCATCATATGCATTGCAAAGCATTTGGCATTTGGTGAAAACCTTGAGATGCATACACTAAAACAAGTTTATATTCATGTGGTATGTGTTGAATTGTATTGGTTGACTCTAGTTCAAAGTTTGTTTGGATTTTGAATTTTTCGAGAAAACCCCGCTTTTCAGCATTTTAATCCTACCCTGAAAATCCATTTCAAAATCTAAGCATAATTTGGGGTTGATCCCAAAAGCAAAAGTGTAGAGCTTGGCAAGTTATACAAAGTTTGTTTTTGGAGTTTTTCAAGTTGTTTAGAAAAATTTTGAGTAATTCAAAAAGGCGTAATTCGTTAAATTTCCCTATTCAAATTTAAAAGTTGATTTCAAAATCTAGACCGAATTAGGAGATGGTTATAAAAGCAAAGTTGTAGAACTTTTGATTTTGAACAACTTTTATTTTTGGAGATTTTTGAGTTGTTATGAAAATTTGAGAGTAATTTGTGAATTTTGGCGAATGGCAAACTTGTAATTACTGTGAACAGTAACCGCGGAAGCCGACTCACCGCCGGCGACCTTCTTCGGCGTTCTAGGCGCGCGCGTGGCGGTCTTGGCTTCGCGCTGGCGCGGGAAAGGCGTCGCCATGGCTTCTCCTTGCTTCCTTGGCCGCCCTATAAAGCTCCGACGCCGTCGTCATTGTTCTTCCTTCGCCCTCTGTTTTTCCCGACGTTGCCGATCATCTCCGGTGAGCTCTCGTCGTCGAACCAAAGGTCTCCGCCGTTGCAAAGAAAGCATCCTTTAGCTCTGCCTTATCTTTGCGCGCTTAGCCAACCCATCAATTCGGCTTAATTTCACCGGGAACCGCCACTCGTCAGATTTCTTCTCCACGGCGGTCGTCGTCCGCCGTCGCCGAGCTCGCGTCGCCGCTGGGCGGGCGCGCTTACGGTGAGTCTCTGCCCTTGCTGAGTCTTGCTTCGGCTTCGCCGCATTGATGTAGTGCTTTGTGACCTATTGGTTTCTCATTTTGACCACCATAGCTACCGGAGCATCGCCGTCGTCGAAGATCGCTCCGCCGTGACCGCTGTCAACGTCGACCTGTGTCCTCGTAGCTTATCCGGTCTCATTCTTTGCTCCAGCGTGTTCGTGGTGAGCTACTGGACCTTCCCATGCCCTCTGTTTCTCCGTTTTCGGCTTTGTTTCACCGGCGTTGTGTCGCCGTGCCACCGCAGCCGCCATGGCCGGCGTAGTGCTCGGTCCAGGCAGTAATTGGTCGCGTTTGTGCCACAAATCGGTGCGCCGTGATGTAGTGATCATGATAGTGCCTTCGCCGTCGCCGTTGATCTCGCCGTCGTCGAGATATCGCCGGTCAGCGCCATCATCGCCGTAGTCAAAGCGGGAGGAAGGGGATGACAGGTGGGGTCACCATGTCAGTGACTCAGCGTTCAAATGGATTTTTCTATTTTCAGATTTGAATGAATAGTGTCTATTTTTGTTATTTTTGTGTAGATTTATTTAGAGCTCCAAAAATTATGAAAATTTTTGTGTGACTTCTCTGTGATGTAAAGTATTTAAGAAAAATATGAAATAATGTTTTTCAGTACTTTTTGAATGTGATAAAAATTGCTCAATTTATTAATAAATGGATTTCCATGAATTTTCTAGGCTTATTTACTTGTCCAAAAATTATGAAATTTGTTTTGCCACTTAGTTATCATGTAATCAATGTTTACAAAAATTTTTAGCTCAATTGGAATAAGTTGATTTATTTCATAATTTTGAATTAAATAATTAATTCATAAAAGTAAATAGTAACCTTTAGTGATTTAGGTTTTGTTTGTAATTTTGGATTGAGTGATGACCTTGGGTCATTTGTTGTTAATGATCCTTGGCAGTTGATGTATGTGTTACGAAAAAGATTTAGTTTGTTTGACTTGCAACTGTACCGCGAAGGAAAGTTGTATTCAAATTGTTGATTTTTGTATCCATCATCGAGCATCATATTTCGTATTCCGCATCATATTAAACATGGCATTGTTATTACGTGTAGTGAACGAAGGTGAACACGTGGTAGTTAATCAAGTTGTTGAGGAGGTTAATCCGTCTGTTGAGGTCGGACCGAATTCTTGTGAAGCGTCGCAAGAGCCGGACTTTTCCGTCAACGCAGGCAAGCCCCGGATGCATACAACCCTACCTTGTGTTTTACAAATTAATTTCGCTTTTGCTTTCCGTTACTGCATTAAGTGATTAGGAGTTAGGTAAAAGCCTAATTGGTGCATTACCACCCTTGTTATTTCATATTTACCATATTACTAGTTTTGAACTCGTATATGCCTAGTTTTGCTTAGCTATGCGTAGAACGATGAAGTCGGTGACTACCTGCCACCTGCAAGTTTTAAATGGAACATTGGTTAATTATGTTAGCATGTGATATGGGAATGTGGAGTAATAAATCTAGACCGGGCGGACTCGGTGTGTGTGAGCCACAAGACATGGAGGTCTTGTGAGCGGGATCTTTCCGTCTGTGTCGATTAAGGCACGTCCGTTGTTGAATTGCATGAGGTGAGAATTTGTAGTACTAACCACATACTCCGTAAGCCCTGAACTTGGCAATTCTATTATGAGAATGGCTACTCGCAAGACCGGGAGTGGGAGAGATGGCGGGAATAGCGTGTACCCACGTGGCAATAAAATTTGGATTGGTGGAATCTTGTATTCTCGGGTGGCATGGACCCGTTCTTGTTTTAGAGGATCCAAGGGTAGGTTGGTATATGTAGGTCGGAGACCTGCATATGTCGTGTGGTCTGGAATCCCCAGCTGGGTTTATAATCGGTTCGAATCGTCGTTGCTCCTCGGTTATGGAGACTCAGCTCACTGTTCATCATCGTAGTAATTAATAACTGGAACTTGAGGATGGTTTGAGAAGGTGTTGGTTATGAAGTTTCATGATATCAATGAGGATCATGTCACTTTGTATATGATCTTTATGAAGTTTTAAATGTTGATATATAGATTTTTGTTAAAATGCTTTTACGCAAAAGAACCTTGATTATTGCTAAAGCCATACCTTGAATCCCATGAGCCTGCATTCCTGTGTTCTTTTAATTCTTATTTCGGTTAAGTCTTGTTGA